TTTGGGTTCAGGAGCTGCTTGAGGCTGTGGTTGGAGAGCTAGAGAGCTGAGTTTAAAATTTTTATCTTGTACGTGCACAGAGAATATCCCTGCAAAGTTTCAGCGTTCTACGTTGCCTGATTCACGAAATCGTTTCCCGTCAACATATTTCTTTGAGGGTCCAGTACGCCAGGTCTGGGGGCGTATGAGGAAAGATTTTAAAACAGGAGGATGACACACGGGGTAAGAACATATATCCAAAGTTTTAGCCTCCCAGCTTCCCTGGTTGCTGAGATCAAAGTGGGTGATAAAATGCACTCGCTTTCCGAACACACACACACAGTCTCTCGACAATATGCGTTTTTGCTGGCTGTAGCAGCGCTATAGCGCTGAGCCAGCAAAAGCGCTGCACAGCAAAAACGCATAAAAATCTGTAATGATCAAAAACTTTTCGAATTACCGTTGTGGAGATACAATAAGTTACAGTCATCAACAGTTCTCTCAGCTCAAATTTGTCCGAGAACCTAAAAAGCCACTTTCCCCCTCCCCTTCCTCTTCCCTTTTCTTCCTCCCTCCCCGCCCATCTCCCTTCATTTCCGTACGAATAAGTGTTGGACGGGTTAAAGATAAAATTCAGTATTCAAACTGCGCCAAAAACAAGTCGTGTTTGATCAGAAGTTGTATCAGAAAGCAGAAGCAAAAATTTGCATATTTAGAAATGGTTTGCACATTTTTAAAGTGGTCCAACTTGATTGTACGGATTGAAAATGTCAATTTCGGAAGGCGTTTTGAACAGAACAGGATCATGTCTTGAAACACTGTCCACCAATGGACTGTTGTTGAAAAATGCAACAAATTTGTTGATGCATGCGGAACGTTGTAACAAACGTGGCACATCCCATGGCGAGATACCGTTGCTGTCACATTCTATAATTTATGTCTAATTTTTGCTAAAATTTGAAATTTCTAAATTATTTTACGATTGTAATCCTGAAAAAATGATGAAACGAAAGAAAGGATTGTTTAAAAAACGACCACTGGGCGATGCAGTGACCACTGGTCAACGCAACTGGGAAATTCTTAGATGCATACCTGGTGAATAATACTATGAAACATAATTGGTTTAGGTATTCAAGTAAGTCTAAAACGGCCTTGATGCCAATCATATGCAGTGCTGTGATTTGTTGTCGTATAACAAGGTTTGCTCCGACAATAAGTCAAATTTGTCATGCATAAATGTGTCGATGAATCGATCAAGGAAGGTCTGTTGTAAAGCTAAGTGCGGTGCTTTAATGGGCTACGAAAGCTCGGAGAGGAGATTTCCAAAAACGATGAGCGGCAGACTTCACATTTTGGGAAAGAGAGAGGATTGCAAATGCTGAAGCAATGAGACAACGTCGAGAAACGGACTTAGAATACCGAGAAATGGAAAGGATTGCAAATGCTGGAGCACCAAGATTCTTCAGATATTGCTACGTTAAAGTCAAAAACTATCTCTCCTGTCCATATTTTTTTGCTTGTTGGCGGAAACAAACGAAAGTAGGCCAAGTGACAGTACTTCAGCCACAGTACCTTAACGGTTGGGAGCCAAATAATGGATGCCCTCTCCGTGTATTACAAACAAACAAGCCAAATCGATTAATGAACTGAATCATTTTCCCATCTAAAAACGCTGTATTCAAAATTTTTTCAAACACAATCTCCTCAAATAAGCAAGCACAAAACAAAATTGTGCTTTTTTTTACTACAAAAATGTCAAAAACTTATCCGTAGTAAACTCTTATAAAAGACAGAAACACTTAGAAGCGGGGAAATTGGTTGCAAATGCTAAAAGCAACCATCCT